TTTTTTTTTTTTTTTTTTTTTTTTTTCAGTTTTCTGGTAGCATAATTTCTGCTGGAATATTATCCTTCTTCTATTTATTTAGTCACATTCTGTGTAAAATATGTTTCCTACTATACATCCTTCAAATGATAATCCTCATTTATGAAGCAGAAATAAAATATGTGCTGCTTTTCTCTACAGGACTAACTGATATATTTCAGTACTATCAAGTGTGTAAAATGGGTCAATCTAGAACATAATTCCAGCATAAAAATACGTTGCTCAAGAACGTGGTTCTCACACATCACAGATCATGTAATCTTGTAATATTGATCACATTGTTTCCTGAGGCTTTCTATATAAAGTACCATCAGTGTTAAAACAAGTGGGAATTTCACYCACTTGTCTCAAACCAGATAATTTGTAAAACCTACTACCAATTATTTAAAAACCTTATTAATTAAATCTTATTTCTTGGTGTGATGCAGCTGAGCATGTCAGTTCAAGAATTCTTTTTGTGATATCCTTCAGCCTGTGCTRCTATTTTCCTTCCTACCAGATTTGTGCATTACCAGATGAGCTGACAAGACAAATTCACTCCAGAACAGAGGGAGCCACAATTGATTTTTTTTTTGTTTTGTTGTTGAACTTTCCACAGGATACAATGCAATGTTTATATTGGATTTATGTTTTGTGCTGGCCTAGGGAGGACGCAAATATGTTATCCAGCATAAAGTCCATGGAGAAAAGTTACCCTTCAAAATGGTTTGAGTGGGTTAGAGAGAGGGAGTTGATACTAGTTCAGCTTTGCATGTCATATGGATGTGGCTTTATTAAATAGATAGTTACAGCAGCTTTACTGTGTCACTGGACCACGTCTTAGTCAGGCTCGATCTTATTTGTTCTCTTTATCCGATGAATCTTGCAAAACCTACTGCCCGCTGTGTTTGTTTTAATGGAAAGTGACAGAAMCCGTGTTTTTTTCAGGTCGTTTTTGGCACTTTCACAGAGCAGAGAGAGAGCTTTAGACACTTTAGGTGGAAAAGGTCTTGATCTCTCCGTTTCAGTGAAAGTTGCAAGCAGCCAATTATTATGTAGATTTAGCTGTTAGCGTTAACACCTCCTTTTGATTCTCTCTTTTGTTCTCCGAGTTAGGCATGGGCTTCAAAAGCCTGGAAGGCTTATCTCCGCCCCTCTCCCTAGCTCCTGCCAAGAGCCCTCTGTCCCCTGGCCCCGCAGCGGGGTTTGGTGGCCYCTGCATGCAGCGCTGGCAGCCGGCACAGGGGACCGGGCGTGGGGAGCGTGGAGGTGCCGCCTCGCCTCCATGAGCTGAACCTTTACTGCACTGACATCTTGCCCAGACTTACACCTGCAAGAAGTTTTCCATACCGCTTTTAGCTGTATCAYTTTCTATTCCTTGAAAGTATTTTTAATGTTATTCAATGTAGATCCAGTTCAAAATGCCTCAAGTGTAATTTATATAAATTTTCCCAAATATTCTAATAATTTGTAGTTTTGTATCATTTGGTTCACAATATTTGTTATAATCCTTTTAAAATTCTCTTGAATTCATGCCAGCACATAACAAATATAAAAACTGGATTATTTGAACACATTAATTATTTKTACCATTTTTGATGACATTGCTACAAAGAGAGAATAAAAATAGATTGATAATACCACAAGAATTGGGCTTTTAGATTGCCCGTTTTAAAAKGAAGGATTTTCTGTAGCTATAGTCATTTCAATACAGGCACAACGACAGATACTAGCTGTGGTTCTGACCTGACACATGATCTGCATTATTATAAAGGCTCTCCACAAAGGAGGCGAGTTCATTCATCCTCAGTGAACCTGCAATGGYTCCAGGTGGATAAGTAGCTTATTTACCAGTATTTTAGGATTATCTTTCAGAAGTGTGGTGAATTTTTTAATGTGTTTGTTCTTCCAGAGACTTACATGAACATTATCAACCAGCAATTGAATTAAATATTTTCCAAAACACACAACTGCCCCAAACTTTAATTGTAAAGTCAGAAAGTAAACAGAGTTAACAAATCATCTGTATTTGATCTCCATTCCCCTCAGCTATCTTTGSCAGGCTCCTCCAAATAGGAAATGGTACTGGTTTAATCTTTTACTGGCTTAATTAAACTCACGGTAAGGCTTAGTGTGGTCACTTACTCCAGTTTGTTTGGTTTTGTTTTTACAGGTTCCTATCCAGTTGAAGCTCAGTGGGTCATTGTTGCTCACATTTAAGATTATCCACTCGCGGGTTTCTATTGGTTTAATTAAAGCCATCTAATTAAGTGAGAATTTTCACTGTCCATTAGCATTCTCTTACATCTGCATTTTGAGTAGTAAGGAACTCAAAATTAAAGTCCCAATGCATTGTCTGGAGGGAGCTGCTTAGTGCTTGGCATTTGCAATTCATGGCGTGAGCCATTCATTTTTCTCTTGCAGGCAGTGCGAACTGCAAATGGCGCATCACTTAAGAAAAAGTGATCATTATTTAGAAGTGTAAATGAAGATGCCAGGGGCTAACCKCAGGTTTTGTCTGAAACAAAGACTGGTGTCTCTGGTCTGTAGCATTGGATTGGACATGTCATAACAGAGAAATACCACATTTATCCTCAATACTACATATTACATGCACTGGAATAATCCTCCCTTTCATATTCTTCCTATTCTCCATCCCTTTTCTAGCTTCTTCCTGATCCAGATTCTTCCTGGTTGTCCCTCCCTGACTGAAAGCTGAATCACTGAAATTGCTGCCCATTTGTTTCCTGCCAAAATGAGCTGGTACTTTCAAAAGCACCACTTCCGTGTCACTGACTAGTATAGTRCAGTATCCTACAATACAGGTTTGCTTTGCTTGCTGTGTGTTCTGTTTTATCCCATAATGTTTATAGAATTAAAAAATGTAGTTACAAAGCGTATATTTTAGTATGTAGATCTTGATATGTAGAGGCCATGCACAATAGCAAAGGAAAAATAAATCCATAAAAAAAAAAATAAAAAAAAAAAAAAAAAAAAAAAAAAAAAAGAAAATTGAAAGACTGGGACTCCAGGCCTGGTATAACAATTATTGATAATGAACCATTGCTGAATGTGGTTGTGTCTATATTTGCATAAAATTTGAACAAAACCAAAACGAACAACAAAAAAAAGTTTAGCTTACCAAGGCAAAGATTGTAGAAYGGCTTTCCCCAGTGGCAGGCATTTCCTAGCAGAGAGTTCTTGTGTCAGGAGAGGTTTAGAAAATTAACAGAGAAAAACAAGTGGATTGCAAGAAAATGCCTCATCTGATGGCAAACTAAATCACACACATTTTTAATCACTGAAATGTGATGTAGGCTAGCTGTCAGCATGGATATGAGCATTTCACCCATTTATCTTCACTGATATTAGAAAAATGTTATGCTTAGTTTAGATAGGAATCCTCTTGGAATCTGGATTACAGTAAAATTAAATCTATCACAGTTGTGGATACATTTTCAATCAAAAATTGTAATGTCCTTATGCCAATCTCTTATTTAAGTTAATCTACAGTTACTTTACATCCAAAGCAGAAGTGGAGCRTTGCAACAAAAACAAATTGGTTATTCTGGAGTCAGTTCAGCTCCTATGCAGCCTCCTGTCCCTCCTTATGGGCTATCTTCCAGTACATTAGCTTTCCTATAAGTTACTCACCCCTTCATATCTGGTATCAAATTCCTGGTTACTTCCACTTCAAACAGCATCTCCAGGTTCTGATCCAGAGGTGCACCATTTAGTTATGGCTGGTAAAAAGGTATTATTTTCAGCAGTATATCATGTGCTGATATTACAGATGAACGAAGCTAGGTTAAGGAGTTTTCACTGGGAAATCATTTGGATATATARCTACTGGTTATATGGCACGCCCATGTTTGACTCTACTCCCTCAGTTGTCTCAAACTGCCTCAACCCAGTTGTCTCAAACTATGGCTAAAATAGTTCAGGACTCCTTTAATTGGCATTACTGCTTTTTGTAAAGCTGACTAATCAAGCACTAGTAGAAAAACATGACCCATGATCTCCCAAAAGTGTTTTAAGCCCCAAGCTTTGCAKGCTTTAAATTTATCAACAAAATAGCCATTCTGAAAATGCTGACCTCTATGGCAGGATAAAATATTTTTGAATTTTGAAAATATCTTCAGGACAAAACCCCTCCTTCCTGTCCAAACTTAGTCAACATGGAGGTCTACTGCACCAATCCAACAGTTTCTGCATTTGAAATGCAGAGCTCTGTAAGGCAACAGGARCTGTGTTGGGGTTAGCATGGGCAGGCTGCTCCATCCAGGGAGGACACAGTGGCTGGGAGCTGAGGGTGACAACACAGGCWGGAGTACTGCCTCACCCATGGGTGTCAGGGAGTTGGTGAGTCCAGATCAGGAGCAGATCTGGAGGTGATGATCAGGGTCAGTCTCAGGCCATTGAGCAGCCACCTCAGTAAAATGAATCAGATCTGAGGCCAAGCCAGGAAGTCAAGCCAAGCCACGGTGTCAAGGTCCAGGTCAGAAGGAGAAGGACTGAGAGGAAGTGCAGACTCAGCTGCAGGCAGCAGAACGTTTACTTAAATGCAGTTCCCAAGGGAAGGAGGCAGCCTCTCTCCCTTGTTCCCCTTTGCAACAGCTCTTACCAGTGAAGAAGCTCAGCTGGACTCAGACAACTTTTTGGAGCTGAGAGAAGACTGAATAGACTGAATAGACTGAATAGACTGAAGGTCATTCTCTGGCAGTGGCCAGCTCTGGAACTAGCTTCACACTCTTGGTTTTGCCCTGTAGGCCAGGTACTCTGAACAAGAAGTTCTGATCCTAGCTGTCTTCATGTTTTTCTTTAATACCCAGATAAAGAGGCAGAAAAAAGAAGAACCAGCACCACTATGGCTGCAGCACTCAGATTCCACCCTTTCCCCATAAACAGYGTRCAAATTGACACCACCAACTTCTAAAGTTTCACATCATTGTTTTTGGGAAGAGGCAAGGACTGCAACTACTGCTGCACTCAACACCTTAATACAACTTCCCCTACAAATCATTACCCAAAGAAATAGCTCCCACCATTTCCAAACCATCTTCTTCCCAAGGGCTGTTGAGTTCATCCTTATTTCGTTATGTGTCTCACTCCCCTTTTCAGCTACTACTTCTTCTGTCTGTCAAGCTAATGCCTCATTTTTTTAACACAAACAAACCCCATTCACCTTTCATTTCTTCCTTTTATAACATTTCTCTTTCATGCAATCGTTTCTGCCCTTCATCCATTTTGATTTTCTTTTTTGTCCCTTTTTTCTTACACCTGTCACCAAACAATGCCATTCCTTTCCACCTAGAYGTAAAAATGTTGTGAGTATGAAATKTAACATGGTGAAGAAGCAACTGGATGGTTTCTGTACAAGGAATGAGTGCTTAGASTTCTCACCTGTGAAAAACAGGCTTATGGGAAAGAAAGGGAAATGGTTGTCTGCTGTTTCTTGTAATACAAGATCTAGAAGGCAAAAAACCAAATTCTCTGGTGGCAAACAAGAGACACTTTTCTATGCAGTGCATAATTGAGCTGTGGAAGTAATTATAAAATGCTATGGGTTTCAAAAGCTTACRTGATTTGAAAAATAATTACACAAATGCATGGTTGAAAATAATCTAACAAACACTATGAAAAGAAATCATACCGCAGGAACAGGCCTTGGCCTGGATGCACTAATGGGAAGCTTGGTTGTCTCCCCAGGATTAAACCCAGAGGACAGCCTGGAGACGCCAATGCTCCTCCAGGTACATAAGTGGCAGTTGCTGTACTGATTGTGATGAAAATAATAATTAACATTKAAGGGCTAGATAAAATTATAGTTCTAAGGATACTGCAACAAGGTGGCCTAGTTTGAGGATGGAAAGCATGGAGACAGAGGCCCAGGGTTCCCCTCTACTGTGTGAACTAAACCCTCTAAAGAAACTAGGGATTTTTGTTTACAAACTTGACACTTACTAATTTTAAAAGGAATAAATACTGGTAAAAGGCATCTGTCATCAGTTATATAACCCATAAGCAGGTCTCAAAGACTATAATTAGAAAGGGGGAAAAAGAAGAAAATTAGATTCTTACCATAACCAGTTTTAATTGGGAATATGTAATATGTAAGCTACTTTGCTTAACAAAGTAGCTTACCAAGAGAAAATAGAAACCTATGAGGGTGAGAAAAATACCCAACTTGTCTTGTCCTAATGCAGCAAGTGAAGCATGTAATCACGTACTTGTTTTAGGCATCTAAGTGCGATGCTGAAATGCCCATTGAAAATGCATGATTTTTCAATTACAGAAAAGAAGTGGCATTCTGGTTTCAGATACTCTGAATTTGTGTTTAAAATATGCTAAAGTAGATAGTGTACATGCTCGAAGATTGTTTTCTTGGATTTTTCCAGGCATTGATGTACACTGATGTACAATGTACTATTCTATTTTCTAAGCATTATCTGTACTGGGGTGACACAGAGTACTTTTTCTGTATTCATTACAAAGAGAAAAATTATTAAATGCCAGTAATGAAAGAATCATCACACTTCACCCAAGACAAATGGAGATCAGTATCAATATAAAGCAAAGGGAGTACAAGAGACCTACCATCCTGAAGGGACAGATATCTGTCAGTTTCCTAAAGGCTTTTAACAGAATGTGGGCCAACCATGTTTGGTTGTACAGATGTTTGCTCTGGTTACTTGTGAGAAACACTGGAAAATACTGGAATCGGGTATCCTGCATGCCAGGACAGGCATATGTGTTCTGGACCATCCATCTGTGCACAGTAAACCTCCCTACACTGAGTGTTGCTCAGAAAATAAGGCCACCCTTAGGGAAACTGTGCTTCACTTAATGCCAAACAGCTGCAATCCAGTTCTGAGTTCAGTGTACATATTTGTAGATAGCTGTTAGCAGCTGGCTAGCTGTCTGCCTGCTAAGACTCCAATAATGTCAAGGTTATTTCATTAACACTGAATGACTTAATGAATGGATTTGGTTATGTGACACGTGGCTCTATGAGCACATGCAAGAAAGCCAAGCCATTGAATCCTAGCCATACTTATCATAAAACAAATATCAGACAAACAGTAATAACACAACTAACTGAAAAGGAATGGGAATATGCCCTCTTCATTGCACAGTGCTATATTCCTTCACCATACTCTAAAATGTCTTCATCTGAATTCTTATCATTTGTCACCACAAGGCAGTGACTACAAAACATTTCCCATTTGTGTTACATCTCTGCCTATTTCCTGTGAGTCATTTACTTGCTAGATACCTGTTCTACATCACTGATGCCTTAATCCCAGCTCTGTGTAAAATTTTCTCCTTCTTCTAATAGATACTTTGGAGGTCACTGCATGCAGCAGCAACAGAGATGTCATTGGCTTCACTGGTGTTGAAGGCAGAACCCTGYTGCCTTTGGCCCAGCTCTGTGGTCTCCTATCACTGCAGAGTAGCTGAATTCAGTAAGACCTGTTTCCCCACATGGGACAGCTCACATGTCCGTGCTGTTCCCATGTCTGGCAGAAACAGACTGAAGGCAGGAGAATGCCCTTTTGGAAAGTCTTTGGCTGACCACGTCAGCAAGCTACACCCACTCCAACCAAACCGAGCCAAATGGCAGATGTTTTCTCTTTCTAAAGGGGAAAAAACTAGCTTCTCTATTTTCCTCTCTTTATTTTCTCTAGGAGAAAACAAATTTTACAGCAGGTTTTTCTTCATCTTAAGTCCACCAAGTGAGTGCCCAAGAAACACAATTGCCAGCAGTTCCTTGTACTGAGGCTCCCAGTGATTTCCCAGATAGAAAAAAGTTATTGTGCCCTTGGTGGGATTTGGGGTTTCTTCCTAACCAGTGAAGGGCCAAGACCATCTGCAATTTAGCAAATACAGTCCGTCACCCATGGCCACTGGCTGAGGTCAGGGAGGCAGGGAGGGTCATGCCCCCCCCAGCTCCAAAGGGTCAGGTCATCCTTTGACTTAACCACACAGATTTCCTGAAAGTCTTTTAATCCAAGGAGGTTGGGGGAGTGGGGGGAAAGGGGGGGGGGGGGGTGGCTGGCTATGATTGGTATTATTCTAAATATATTTTAAACTTATTAATAGAGGTCAAACATTTTAAAATTTTGTCTTTTCCCTTAGAGCTGGATGTTTCTTACAACATTCCATTTGCTCAAAAAAAGCCTAATGTTGAAGTTAATTAGTATAGCTGAATGCATACCATTCAACTTCCTACTGGTCATTTGGAAACTKTGTCTTCTCCTTTTTGAAATATCATTTACCGTAAGTCAGCATGGAGTTCTACTGGTATGCTTTTCATTCTCTTATTTGAATAGAGCATAACTTGAGCCTCTTCTCATGTTACTGGAAAAGTATTTATGCTTCATAACCATTTGACTTCTTTTACTGAACATGATAATATTTGTTGTATCCCTTTTGCTAATATCTTCACTAGGCTCTTTACATCTGAATTTAATAATTTGTCCTGGACTCAGCTTTCCTGTGACAGTAAATCCAGGAATAATTATTATCTTATGAGCTTGAATAGAAGCCAGCTCACCAGCAATCTGTTGGTGCTCTGAGGATGCTGAGTTTTACCAGGCTACGTGGTGGTATTCTGACAGATAATATTCTGTCATAGATATCCCATTGTGTCTTTGAAGTGACAGTCGATTTCATTTAAGAATTTTCAAAGACTTTTACTTGAGAAGCTGAGAAGAAACGGTGGCTGCACAAAAGCAGATGGTTTGAAGAAAAAGGCTAGGCTTCCACCTGATGCCCAACATCACATGTGGCTGACTCGTATTCCTGGTTTCATTCATGCAGACCTTTGTGCCTGGGATGGTTACCTGGTTCACACAGCAGGAGAAATAAAGTTGTTAAGTTCCTCAAATGTAGCCAT